AAGGTGCCGTCGTTTTTCGACAATGCAAGGAATATACAAACATACATACAAACAGATTCTTCATTATTTAGTCATTTATCATGGCTATAAATCTAAATATCTTTCGAGAATTTCAGTTGATGATAGCCTCTGGTTCAAATCAAAGTACATTGTAATTCAAATGCAATGTATAGCAAAATGCATCTTAATTCAACCAAGCAAGCACCCTGAAAGCCTAAGGAGCCGATATAGGAAGGAAGTCCACGAAACTTTTAAATAAAGAAACGCGCTATAACCACCTGAACTTTCTGCACGCGATTCTGCCATAATAATCGGTGTGGTGGAATTCCTAAACAGCGACTGCCTGTTGCCATAATCAAGATCTAATTTCCCCATATTCTATTGTTTGAGAGTTCATTGCGACCAGGAGTCCAAAGTGCTCTCGATGACCACTCATCAGATGATCTTCGCCTCGAGGAAAGTGCGGCACGCGCGTTCAACTTTGCGCCCCCAGAAGGAAGTTCGCCATGCTTGAGCGGAACGATGCTTCCGTCTGTCCAAAACATGTGGCATACTCGGGATTGAAAATTGGTTTTGTCCTCTCGCGATTGCCCGATAACATCGCTTGCAAGCAGCTTCGATATCATCAATCGGAAACAATAGAGAAGCAGAGCAATCTGAGCACTTTTTTGGTAATTACTCCCGAATGCTTGGCAGTCGTTGCACCAACTTCTATACGGAATTAGGCAGGACTATTACAAATATGAGTGGACAAAATTATCATGCCACAGATGCAGTTACGTTCTTGGTCAAAGCTGCTGAGAGGCAAATAAGCGGAATAAAATGTAAATCCATGGCCAATTAAAATTTTTTATTGTTTTGGAGTCGATAGTAATTTATCACAAAACGCATTTGCTTCTAAAATGCATTACTGCTGATGATATGCTGTTGTTTTTGTGACTTACCTCACTTATCTGACAGTAATATCTTAACAAGACCCCCAAATTCATCGTGGCAAGAAGCGCAAAATTGCGCCCGTCGTTGGTAAGAGCTTTGAGCACCATACACGTGACAGTGCGACTTTGCTCAGTTCCACCCCCAGTTTTGAAGCAGAGCTCCCCAAGGAGACGGGTCCGATTGTTTCCTACTCATACTATGAAACTGTAAAAATTGTCGAAAATTTAAAACTGTTTGTTTGTACCTAAAATTGAAAGGATTTAAGATTTTTGCGGCATGAAACGTAAAAAATCGACTAGTCCTCGCCAGCATTCGAATTATGGATCTTCCAACGCACTAACCACTTACACCGCCACAATACGCATTGAGATATGCAATAATTTTTTACATTTCGATTCACTTAAAAAGCGACTGAGGAAATACGAGATCCAGTTCAACAATATTATATGGTGGTAAATTATCTTCCACCTCGTATTAGTTCGAGAGAGAGACATTTGATATATTTTTTCGGGGCTAAGAAATGTAAATTGTCATCCGTACCCTCTCTGAGATTCGAACTCCAGATTTATTAACTACTTACATTACAACAGTACTTACGGAAGAATGCTATAATTTCATGTAAATCCCACTGGAAGGATGGAGGGAGAAGGAGCTGTGGAGAAAAAGAAATAATCTAAAAAGTCTAATCGACGTATAAGCCGGGTGCACTTCTACCAGTTGTTATTATCTCAAATTAAAATGTTTGCTTATTTTATTTTTATTTCATGCGTTGTTGTTCCTTCGTTGCATCTTTTCTTTCCATAAATCGACAGTATCAACTAACAGTGCCCTTAAAATATTTAACTTTCTTTAACTTAGACTGGACTGTGTCCATTTAAGATTTCGGCATTGCTGTGCATTGCATTGCTTTGATTTCGGCGTATTTTCAAATACATTTTTCTCCGTTTCTTGGCGAAAGTGGAGAGGCGGTTCTTTTTTCAAATAAGTTTTTCGTTTTCCAAATCTTCCAGATGCTGAGCACACAGGCTTAATAATTTTGGGCTTATACAATATGCTTAAGGGGGCTCATACACCTTAAACCCCTTATGATCTTCGAATACGTGGCTGTTGCAAGAATTGGGATAACTTATTTATTTTAAAGCAATAACTTCGAACTTTTTATGGCTGACTACATAATATAGCTGCTTTCTGAAATCGTAATCAGAAAGTTTGTGTTGCCACAAATATTTTTATAATTTAATCCGCTTTGTGACAAAAAATTTCGTCATGTTTTCACCTTGCGCGCACAGTTTAAAATTATCTGTTGCATTATTTAATTCCATAGTTTATATATAGCTTTTATAACATTTGGAAACTACTGTAAACCAAAAAAAAACTGAGAATTTCATGTTAAATTTTTATTTTATTTGGAGTCGAGTTTATAAAGTGTATTTTATTTTAAAAAGATCTGTAATGTTTTAGCGCATAAAATTTTTTAATATTAAAATATTCATCAGATTTTTGGTTCAGTTAGAAAATAGTGCCCCTATAAAGAATTCCATCCAATTTCAAGTATATACCATTAGCCATTTTTGAAATATCATGCGCGCAAGGTGGAAAAATGACGAAAACGTTTGTGACAAAGTTAATTAAATTACAAAAATATTTGTGGCAACACAAACTTTCTGGTTACTAGTTTCCAAAGCAGCTGTATTATGTAGTCAGCTGTAAAAGGTTGGAGGTAATTACTTTTCAAATAAACAAAATATCGCAATTCTTGCAACAGTCACATAATTCGAAGCTCATAAGGGGTTTAAGGTGTATGAGCCCCCTTAAAGTTATTGATTACTTGGATAAAATCTCTAGTCGATTTATATCAAAGAATCGATTTGTTTCCATAAAATATGGTAATAAACAGCAAGTATTTATTAAAGAGAAATTCTGCTCGTATTTCTGCTTTGCAGAAAACTGAGCTTTTTATATTGTAAGGTTTATAGGGTATTTTTCCTGCCTTCTTAGCATGCCTTTGTAGGATAGTGGTCAGCACGCTCGGCGCGTATTCGAGAGGCGCTTGGTTCGAATACCGGCGAAGGCGTTGCTTATTTTTCATTTCTCTTAATTTCAAAAAATACCTAATGTCTTTACATGTCAAAAAATACCTAATGTATAATCATTTTAATTTTATAACCCGTTATTTTATATTAATTCCCTTTCCTGTAAAGCCTCGTTTCATTTAAATTTCTACCCGCGCGGGATATTCAAATTAGGGAGGAAAGAAAGAAGTACTTAAAAGTAGGAAGGTTTTTGAAGTTTGAAATCGGAGCATGTTCTGCTTGCTGGAAGGCCACGTTGCTAACTTTGATTCTGTTACGATTAGAATTCTGCGACATTGAGTTATTCTAGCTTCCATTAGGCTTGTTTCCACCGACTTCGATCAGAGCCAGTTTGCGCTCTAGTTAAACTGTGAAACCGTAAACTTAAATTTTATTAACTTTAGATTATCCGTTATATTTGATTTAAAGCCAAAAGTATTGGCTTTTGTAAGCACAAGCTGGTGCCGACTGTTAAACTTGAGTTAATAAAAGGGTCCTTTACACTCCTCCTCTGTCTCTGTGGTACTTAAAAGACATAGCGATAATTTGTATATCGTCTTTTAGAGTTTTGGATCTAATTTATATTAGCAAAGAACACCAAACTCTATAATATTACTAGAAAATTATAGTATTTAAAATTATAGTTCTTTTATAGTATAAAAGCGAAACAAAGGCAAAGAAACAACATTTTATCACAAACGTCAGGAAACAGCGCAAAATTCCCATTTCTTTGATATATTGAACGTTTACAGCAATGCCCTTCTTCTTTCGACGACGAAAAAAATTATTTTGCTAAGGAATGATGCAGTTGCGTTTGCTAAATCTAACCCGTTATTAAAAGAAACTCAGCCAGTCCACCGTATCATGACTAAGAGTTAGTGAAGAAGTCTGCGGCTGGATTATTTCTGCCACTGTATGCTTTAGTTGCAAGGGTGGTATTTGCGGTTAAGTTGAGATGAGTGAACCCGGCTTGCAGATATGGTAAGCCAGAAAGGAGCCTAGTGATTATACATCCCATGCTTTAGTCATCTTATTTGACTGACATTTCGAAAGCAATGTCTTCTGGCGGAAATAATACGAAATGTTTAACCATAGTATTTTAATGTAAAGTTTTCAATGTTCGATTGTGTAGGAAAAATATTGCTTTAAAGTTTTTTGTTTTTGACCTTTGTAGTGGTTTCCCACCTTAACCGTGTTCTCATTCATGAGAAAATTTTCAGAAGCATTTTTCTTTGCTGATAAACTTGTATTCAAAACATATCGTGTAAATTTGTAAAGAATTATTTCATCCCTTTGGACGTGTTCTCCTGCTGTAAGTGATGCTGGACATGCTAAACCAGCTAGCAACTGAAAAAGTTGTGGATCTATTCAGGAAATATCCAATGGTCTCCATAATGGAGAGCGATAGTTCATTACTACATGGATTGGTCGAATGCGTCTCGAGCCTTCACTAGCCACTCTTTAAGTAGGGTAGAATATAAGGAATTATCGAAATCCTCTGCGCGTGGTTTGATGGTACGAGTGGTTATTATGTCCAGCTAGCAACTATAGAAAATTCGTGGTTCTGATCTCGGCACGGGCACAGTTGATTTTCTTTGTTCCCTGCTTTGAAAAAACAATTGCAAGTTGACTTGTCATTTAAGAGAAAAGTGTTCCGATTTGTCAGGCTTTTTAAATTCTAGCTACCAACTTTCGTTTGGAATCCTCGGACATATTTGAACAATTGTTATATGTATATATATTTAAATAGTATTTCTAAAAATCCGAGTGATATGAAAAAAAAAATAGGTTTGTAGTAATTTGCTTCATGCGTCTGGTATTATACTGTTTTTAATTACATATTATACTATAAAATATTTTATCATTTTTAACAGTTGTGCTCGAAATCAGTTTACTTGTTACTTTAGTTATTGGAGATGATGTGTATTATCTAAATATCTTTTTATTCACCGGTTTTCATACTCACATTTTTCATTGTATCTTTCTTTACAGATGAGCGGGAAGAGAACCCGTAGTTTCAAGATCGCTGTGCAGCACCGGGATAGAGAAGAATTGCTGAGGGAGAGGGATAGAGCCCTATTCCACAGCATGGTGGCAAAGATTGCTCACCATTTCTTGGCCGACGACAGGGACCGGAAGTACTATGCGGACCGGTATACGTGCTGCCCACCACCCCTGTTCGTTCTGCTCGTTACTCTAGTCGAGGTGAGTGCTCAAAGAATCTTCCACTTCTACTTTCTTCCGATCTTCTCCAGAGCAAATCCACTCTGGTGTGCTTCCTGCAAAGGCCACGTTCCGGGCGCGTGGCAAGCGACCACGCGAAACTCCTTCTTCATTAGTCGTAATTCCTTTTGAGAAAACTCATGTCGCGAAGGAGGTATCCCCCACCCCCCTATTGTCCGAACGCCGCAGAGCGGAAAAGGGTGTAGGCTGATTTCGAACTCCGTCGCATGGAATGGAAGTCGAAGGTCACATCAAGATGCCTCATCATACGACAACAAGAACCGCGAATGACCGCGTAGTTTTCTGCAAACTCTGTGTTCGCCGTGTGGCTTACGCGTTGGAAATGTACTTTGGAATGTCACTTAGAAACTGCCACGAACATCAGCATAATGTAATTAACTCTCTCTGTGCTCACCACTTCAGAGATTACCTACATTAAGGAATATTTCTTCATCTCTTTTATCCCACATTTGCATGACTTTGCGAAACAATGCAATAATTCGATCATTAAATGCGTCTTTCCCGGAAATTTATTGAATGGCATGGTCACCGACAAGTGTTGCTTATTTGAAAAGCAGCCCAAATATTTATTTACCTTTGATACTAATTCCCAAAAGTAACGAATAATTGGTATTATGGAGACAACATTGAATCGTGGACTTTCATGGTTCATATTTATGAAAGGAATCAAAAAACGAGTCATGTGATAGTTAAAAAATTACTGCGTTAAAATTGTAAGAAATTTTTAAGTCTTGAAACATGCATTATCAAATGCATAAAGTTAATTTGGTAATCAATGTTTATGTGTGATTAATATCACCAACTCTTTCAGTAATTCTCTTTTACAACGAAGGTGATTGAAAACAATTTTTTTTGAAAGAAGTTTTTACGGAAACTAAATTTTGAAAAATAATCTTTTATTGACACCAAAGAACCCATAATCATATGATGACACTATATGATAAAATGCGATGACACGATACGATGAAGTTATACGATGACACGGTTTCTGAATCAATTACTTAAAATTGCTATTTGGCAATCATCATTTTAAATTCGCTAGAAAAAGAAACTTTTCTTACGAATGTTTAAAAATTGTGAAAGGAAATTTTTATTAATTATAAAAAAAGAATCCTAAAGCTCAATATAAGAAAAAAAAATAAGTACGCAAATAAATATACTACTGAGCAATATGAATATATTACTGAGACAATAAATATATTATATATTTACTGAAACATTTCAGTCCGTATAAAACGTACAGATATTGCTATATAAATAGAAGCATTTCAAAATACACGAAACAAAAAATTCTTACCTAAGAGCTTATTATATGTATATATCTATCCGATACATTTAGATGTTTCGACTGTACAAACTACGTGAATGGCTAACTAGAACAGTTATACTAACTAGTGCCGAGTGGATAGGTTACAGCCGAAAACATCGCGGCAAAAACATCGCGGACGATAACGTCGCGGAGAAAACAACGCAAGGCGAAAACGTCGTGCTACAAGACATCGTGGGAGAAAACATCGCAAAGAGAAAACATCGCAGTTCTAAAACATCGTCGTCAAAAATAAAGCAGTTCAAAAACTTCGCAGTTTAAAAACATCGTCGTCGAAAATATCGTGGTAAAAAATAAAGTATCTACAAATCATCGCTTGACGATAACATCGCAGATATGCTTTTTTCAGACATGCTTTTCGCAGACATTCTTTAATAACTGTAAATGGATATTCCCATAATGATTTGTGAGCGCAAAATGGAAAGAAGGATAATTTTTACTTTCACATTTTTTTATTAACTAATAAATTTTTCTCTGAAAAAGTAAGAAGGAAACTTAAGCATAGCAAATAATGCAACTTATAGCAATTAATAGAATTTAAACCGACATAGTTAACTAACAAAGACCATTAATAAATAATTTTATAAAGTTTTTACTAGTAATTTTTCGTGAAGTATAATCTATAGTTGCATTTAATTTCTATGCTTAAGTTTCCTTCTTACTTTTTCAGAAAAACTTATTAGCTAATAAAAAATGTGAAAGTAAAAATTATCCTTCTTTACATTTGCGCTCACAAATCTTTATGGGAATATCATTTACAGTATTAAAAAAAAAGCATGTAGGGAAAAGCATGTCTGCGATGTTATCGTCATGCGATGATTTGTAGATACTTTATTTTTTACCACGATATTTTCGACGACGATGTTTTTAACTGCGAAGTTTTGAACCGCTTTATTTCGACGACGATGTTTTAGCCACGATGTTTTCGATGTTTTCTCTTTGCGATGATTTCTCCCACGATGTTTTGTAGCACGATGTTTTCGCCTTGCGTTGTTTTCTCCGCGACGTTTTCGTCCGCGATGTTTTTGCCGCGATGTTATCGGCGGACACCGAGTGGATAAGACCACTGAATAACGGTAGTTCAACTGATTGTTAAGTCGTTTTTTCACGTACGCAAGGCAAATATGAATCACTTTCCCTTTAAAGGTTTTCTATGAAGACATCCGTCTGGAGGCCTTGGTTTCCAACAGTACTGTCACGCCCAGTAACTTGATCAAGAACAATCAATTTAAGAATCAGATTTAATTCCTCTTAAATTAAATTGGATAAATGTCATACTACTCTAAATATGAGATGTTGATTTTTCTCTCAGTCATCTGTTCAACGTAATACAGTAAATCCGGTTTCCCTGACTACTCCTAAAAGCGACCTATGTTTCTGAGGGCGTAAATAAGCATCAGCACTGAATATTACCTTTCTAACACAACCTCTTCACAAAAGACCAAAATCATCTGAAACGGAGTGAGTTTGTCTAAGTGTTCGATATATGTAAAAAGTATATTAAAATAATTCGTCATTCATTCCTTAACTTTTAGTTTAAAAGTAAATATAGTTGCTCATTTTTCCTCAAATATGCTAGTAAACTATTTGTTATGAATCTCCCTCTCTCTCTCTCTCTAAGGCGATCACTAAATATTCTAAATGATTTTGGTCTTTTGTGGGAGGGGTTGTCTTATGAAAGGCGATTTTTATTTATCGCCCTCGGAAATACAAATCGCTTTTAAAAGTCCGACAGAAAGTTCATGTGGTTGGTTTTGGTTTTTAGTTTATTATGTTAAAGCACGCTAGGGTTTTGTAGCCTAAGGGAAGGGATGCCTTCGTGAAGGGCTTTCTATATACACGTTACACATGGGGAAAGCTACAAAAACGCCCATGCAGCCAGGCCATTCGCCTGGATTCGAACCCAGGTCGAAACTACCAGTGTTCAGCAATTTTACCGCTCGGCCGCTGGAGGGCGAAAGTTTATAAGGAATTATCTCATTTTCTTAGTGCGTCATGTTGTTGTGCAAGTGGAGTACGTATAGTTAGCTACCGGGACCCGGGCAGCTGGACGGCAGCGAACCCTATCGGCGGCTCTGGATAATGGCGAACGTGGTGCTGTATTGATTGACCATTAAGGTAAAGGGACAGTGCCCGCGTCCTCCGTCACTTATCACTTATCACTTACCTTTGGAAGATCTGTAGTTTGAATCTAGGCATAGTCGATGTTTCATGATCCTTGCTACGAATAAAATAAAAAATTATAAAATAAAAATAAAAAAATGCTAACGTCTGTACAAGTTCCCTTTATTTAACTTTCTGGCGCACCGCATTAAGCTCATTTATACCAAAACTTCTTTTTTTTTTACTCTAAAACGTCATCAAAGATACATTTTTTTTCCTTTTGTAAGACCGTCTTTTTTTGTTTCGGCACGAAATACAAATTTATGAAAGTAAATAAAGAAAAGACTCAGAATAAAATTAATTTCTTGTTATAATTATACATTGTTATAATTTGTTTGGATTGGATTTGATTATTTGGATTACACACACAGCAGCTGTAAGGAATGCCTTCATGGAGGAATTACAGAGAGAATAGGGCTCATATCCACATTACACATTGGAAAATTCACGAAAATTCTCATGCAGCCAGCCTGTTTGATGTGATTTGAACCCAAGTCAAATTACCAGTGTTCATGGATTTTAATAATTCGAAGGTATGCGTAATATTAAGAAAGCAAAAATACAATAAACCCCCTTTCCTAAAACAAGGATCTCAGTTCCAGCCGCCCAGTCGGTATAGTTGTCAGGGAAGCTGACTGCGATGCCGAAGGACCTGGGTTCGAATCCCGGAGAAGGCATGGTTGAAACTGTCCTTCCTTCATAGAAAAGGCGATGGCGGTCCACCTATTAGGTGCCTCCATAATAAACAGACCACCACATTTGGCTTTGTATAGATTAATGGACTGGGTTACATTTGTATCGTTCACAATCTGCCATTGGGAAAAAAAGGGGGGGATCTCAGTACAATGTGATTTTGGTCTTCCGTACAGAAAGGTCATCTTAGAAAGGTGATATTAAGTATCAAAGTTTATTTATATTATCGTCGGAAATACTGGTCATTTTCAGAGGCATTCCTCTTAGAGAGATGGTCATCAAGAGAGTGCTCGTTTTGTATTTACTAAATCTGCTTCCATTTTTGTCCGTATAAGGTTTCTCCTCACAATCCACAAATGGTTTACGTTCGGCTTCTTAACGGCACGTAACTTCTTGATTTCGTTCCCAGTGAATTCCGTTCGAATCGCTTATAAATGTTTCAGTCACGGTGACTGTGACTGTTGACTAGGAGAGGACAAGTTCGTGCATTCGAATACCTCGTAGCTATTTAGAGAAAAAGAGAAAAAAAAAATTTAACCCGCGCTGCGGAAGCTGCGGTCTTTCACGTTTGTTGTTTTTGACTACTACCCCCACCCATGTCGTTTGAGAATCGGCAAGATCAAAGGAGAGACCTTTCCAAACGACTCCTTCGAGGATGGTCGTCCACGTCTCACTTTAACGGCCTCAAACATCATTAATGGCCGGCAATGACAGCTAAAACCTAATACTGACAAAACATTTTCTTTCTTTTTCACAGAAAAGAAGCATTACCGCTAAT